CAGTATCATTAGGTGGAGTAACGTATATATCATATTGATTAGGATCATCATCGTCAATATTTTCTAGCTCCGATAACAATTCATGGGTTGTAAGTGGTCGCCGCCTAAAATTTTAGTAAAATAATATTATACACATATTATACAAATAATAATTACTTGTGATTACCTTTTCCTCAATGTTTGTTTGCTCATTTTTAACAAATTAGACACTAAACTAAACCACTAAACCAAATCAAGCGCATGTGACAGCAATTACTACATAACCTCAAAAAAGTACTTATGTGCTCAGTGGGTTGCTAACGACCCACGCGAGTTCTGTGATGAATAACTCGAACGGTGTATTATTTTTGCAAAGTATTTCAACAGAATACTAGATTTCAAAGATATTTTAACATATAATCACTACTCATTTTAGGAAAAAATAAAAAATAAATATTTTATGTGTTGTCATAACTGATGGTGTAAGCTGGGTAATGGTAACTAAAAATAAATAATTAGTTTTTTTTACAACAAATGCGAATAATCGAAACATTTATAAAAATTGTTTGAAATAAATATACAAAGAAGTGATTTTGTGTAAAAATAAAATTATAGAACTGAAATACAGAAGAAAAAAAAATTAAATACATACGGGGTCGTTAACGACCCGCTGAGCGTTAATGGGTTAATTAAATCACCCATCATTAATTTCAAATTTTGATTTAAATCATTTATTGATTTGGAAAGATTTAGAATTTCGATATTTTTATTAATAGAAAAAACTTCGTCTTTGTTACCAGTATAATTAGAAAAATTAGAGGAAGGGGACGATTCCCACATTTTATCGGCAATATCTAATAACTCTTTAGTAGAAGATTTTCCAGATACAGTTAAAGAAATATCTATAAATGTTGGGAGTCTTCTTCTCCATATTTTTAATAATAAATTTTCATGAATTATAGAATCACCTGAAAATCTAATTAATTCTCTATAAAAATCTGAAGGTTTTTTATCGCCCATTTCAGCTCTAGATAGTAATTTATCTAACCGTTGTTCTTCAGAGAGAGAAAGTCTATTTATAACTGATTCTTTTAAGGTAGAAAAAGCATTATTCTCTGGGGGATCAGAGATTATATCATAAATCTTAGCAAAAATTTTGGCTGGTAAATGTGCGATCGCCAAATGACATTTACTTTTCTCAGAATGGATTTTATGGATATAAAATTGACTTTCTATGTACCATAGATCTGGTTGATGCGCCCAAAAAACTGGCAGTTTAACTTTAGAAATGTCTTCCATAAAAATATTATTATCAACTGAGGTTTGAGGCTCCTCAACTGGCAATGTCAGACTGTCTGTAGGCATTATATATGATCAAAATCGATAAAAGATACCAACAAAAACACCCCACTTACCCGAAAAAAGATATCAACAATAAATGGAAATTGCTTTCTTGGGTGGGATCTTCAAAATGTCGGGTGTAGGAATCTTCTCTCCGGTGTGGAATCTTCTGTCGGGTGTGGAAATTTGTCGGGTGTGTAATCTTCTGTCGGGTGTGGAATCTTGTCGGGTGTAGAATCTTCTCTCGGGGTCTTAGGTTCTAGTCTTGGATGTTATTCCGGGATGCTCCAAAGGGGTTCCTTGCAGTTGAAGTGTGCTCGTTCGGGGTCACCAATTGTAGGTAGCAGGAAATCAGAATTTCAGTAAATAATTATAATTTTATTTTAAAATATAAAAAAAAACATTATATGAAAAATGTTGTGTCGAGGTACGTCTTGTCTTGTCTTTTTCGAAATCCGTAATCAATCAATCTTTTTTTTTCTTTTTCCATGGTTACCATCCATCGGATAAGTAGGGTGATCGTGTACGCAGCTATCGACCAAGATTATAAAATATGTGATATAATGGTACCATCTGACATTGACACTTGACCAACCTCAAATAAAAACTGACTAAGAAACCTTAAAATAAATTGACGTCAAAACTAAAGGTAAGACTATGTGGTGCTATGATGTCGCCACACGTGTATACTGACCGGATGAGGCCACAAGTAAAAAAAATGTCCAATTTATATACTCATGTATAGGCGAATAACACCTGCACTACACTCACTAATTTCAGTCAATCTTCATAAGGATTTATCCAGTGAGAACCATAGATCAATAACATTCCGTAATTAAAAAAAATCTGAGGTTTCAATTTGCATTAATGGATAGTACATGGCCTTCAAATACAAATGTAGAAAATATATTAACAACACTAATGACCGTTTTCTGAAACGGTAAATATCTGTCCAATAGACTTATCAAACGGATATCTTGAGAGATATCTTATCGAATAGATAGCTTGCCATTTTGGTGAGATATGTATTCGATGAGTATCTGACTTATGCCTTCATAATTTGACATTTCAAATAAATATATTAATACTCGTATGCATAGTCGATCGCCAGCGATTCGCCAGAGATTCATCTCGGCGTATCACCAGCGATCCGCTGGTGAAAGCCCAAAAAGGTGGCGACTTGTTGGAGATTGTCACCGGCATCTCTTGCATGTTATTCATGATTCATTTCTTAAAACTCAAAAAACATTGAACGAATATCAAATTTTACCCTATAAGAGAACATGAAAACTTGGGATAGATGACATGCCGGTGACAATCTCCAGCAAGTCGCCACCTTTTCGAGCTTTCGCCAGCGGATCGCTGCTAATACCGCCGAGATGAATCTCTGGCGAATCGCTGGCGATCGATTATGCATACGGCTGTTATTATTATTTCTCGAATACCAGAAAAATAACAAATTAAACTCAAAATAATGGATTTTTCAAGCTCTTCGCATTCTTCTGATGAAGAAATATTAGCAATTATTCAAATGATAGACGTTATTCGCCATTTTCGTGTTAGAAATGATCCAATTGAAGAATGTAGTGACAACGAATTTAGGGACCGTTTTAGACTTACCAAACATACTGTTAACTACTTGGTTGAATTAATTAACGACCATATTCATCCTACGACTCAGCGAAATCGTTCTTTATCTACTAGAGAGCTGTTAGAATTGCAAAAGTCTATCTAGTGAGCATATGTCAAACCAAGTTAAACGACTAATAACTATCGAGCGACAGTTACCCACATAAGTTTTCAGAAACGCTTTATGATTTATTACATAACTTTTATCTGACCTATAGTTATTCTTTCAGTAACAAAATGTATGACAAACCGGCCATTAATAGATTTACCCCTGAATAAGAGAAAGTTATAAAAGACCAATGGGGAAGCCAAAGGTGGTGGAATGAGGAGATTGGTGAGGAAATAAAAATGAGAGACCAATTAAACAAACAAGCTGTTATAATAAAAACAGACGAAGACTGGCAGAAATATAAACAGCAAAGAAATAAAGTTGTAACAATATTACGAACTACAAAGCTGAATTACTATGACGAAAAAATAGATCAATTAAAAGACAATGCTACAGAAATGTGGAAAACACTTAAAAGTATCTTAGATTCGAAGGGAAAAGAGAGTTTTAAAGATGAAATACTATTCAGCGGAAAACTGGTGACGGGTGGAGGAATATGTGAGAGATTCAATGAGTTTTTCATAGATAGTATTGGGAATATTGTGAAGATAATAAATCACACTAAAACACCCAAAGAAACTGTGGAAATCATAAGTATCCAAAGTAAAATGAAGAAGTTCAATAAATTAGAAATGCACGACCTAAGAAGAATTATAAGAGAAATGAAGAACAAAGAAAGTAGCATAGATGACATTACCGTTAGTGTACTTAAAGTAGCATTTGAAAAAATTCCAGATAACTGGAAGACAAGTACTGTCGTTCCTATAGAAAAGAAGAAGGCAACCATACTCTGTGAGGAGTTTAGACCCATTAATATGGTTCCACCATATGAAAAACTATTGGAGCTTTGTATTAATGAGCAGATCGTTCATTATATAGAAACTAACAACATTTTACAGAATATCAAGCGGGTTTTAGAAGTAAGAATTCTTGTGAGACTGCTCTGCAGTGTCTTGTTTAACTGGAAAAGTGCTCTACATGAAGGTAAACTAATTTGAGTAGTGTTTCTGGATTTCAAATGTGCCTTTGAAACTATAAACAGGAACATATTATTACTCAAAATGGAAAAGTACGAATTTGGTCAGTCTATATTACAATGGTTTAAAGACTACATGCATGATCGAAATCAAATAACAAAATACGCAGGTGTATCATCTGTGAAACGTACCGAATATGGGGTGCCACAAGGGACAGTGCTTGGTCCTGCTCTGTTCATGTTGTATATTAATGACATTATAAGTGTAATTAGAAAAGTATACTAGAAGTACTGATATGTTAAATTTAACTAATTTATTAAGTGTAATGCTAACTATTACTTGTAATACCATGATATTCATATATATAAAATGTTAAATAATTTGGTACCTGATCATCTACTTAGTAACTGCAAATGTGTTACATGAGCATTGCACTCGTTCAAGAAATAATTTTTATCTATCAAAAGTTAGTTCTAATGTAGATAAAGACTCATACTATAAAGGACTGAAACAATATAATGAGTTACCTGAATGTGTAAAAAACTGTGATAATCTAAAAAAAAAAATGTAAAAAGCCTGTATCGACTATAATAAGAGTTCTATTGTATTGTAGATATATGTTTAAATATTCTATGTTATTATTAAATGAGGGAGTAAAATGCATATTTTGTCCCTGAGGTACAAAAAATAAATTAATAACCAAAATAATAAAATACTGAGCTAGACACAAACCAGAGGCCGAAAGTTATACACAATATAAATTAAAGCTAGTTTCATTTAAATCCAAAAGCACCTACACTCTTGTCACTTTTAATATGTACATGTATTTCAATAACACTCTGTATTACCAGTTTCTTGCTTTTATTCGCATAATGACGAATTGTTGTCGCATCAGTATCGCAAAATATGTAATGTGGCGCTCGTGTTTTTTGTTGTGAAACTAATTTTTGTCATTTTTGTTTTAGGAATCGCGACAAAATAGGGTAAATAGTTGGCAAAACTTTCAAGCGAACACAAAATCGAAAGAAAAAGCAAATAAGAAAATTAAAACGTTTAGACCGCCGAAAAACAAACCTGAATCTAGATAAGAACGTTTTTAATGTGAGATACAAATTTTATTACTTCTGTAGTATATATAACCATAGTTTAGTTTGTAAGAAATGTATTTTTATTTGTAATTTTAAGTTTTTTTTTATCATTTAACGAAGAATGCCGGATTCTTTGATAATTGTTTACACACAAAGTCTACCTTCTAGTACCTATTTAATTATTTAAATAATTTTTGTTAAATTAAATGTGTTCTCTTTTCAAATGATATTTGATTTCAGGTTTGAGTAAATTTTGATTGGACGAATGGATCAGTATAGTGTGACATCATTTTTTCGAAACAAAGCAAAGTAACCATTACAACAGCTGTGTCATTGCTGGCATAGTTGTCAAACCTTATATTTGGTTAAGATTGGGCTTTGTGTTGAATTTATCATAAAATATTGTTTTAATATAATTTGTTGTGATCCCTTATGGGGTGTTCAATGATTTTAGACTTCCACCCACCACCTGTGTAAGCAAAAATAAGAAAATCATGAACCACCCTTCCACAAATGATAAGCCGTAAGAATTTATCCAAAACTTTTATTAGTTTCCAAATTATGAAAACACCTCTTATTCTCAATATGATATTTTAGTGTTTAACGAAACCTGGTTAACTGGTGATATGAATGAAGCTGAACTACAAATACTTCGACCACAACATATTGTTACGCAGCACCCTGTATCGTGCTGCGGTCATCATAAGTAAAGGTACGAGTAAATGAAGATAGAATAAATAAAAGTCCAGATTGTTCGAGAAGGCTCCGAGGAATTACTACTAGAGGGAGCTTGAAACGAGTTTGTAGGCGATTGTTGTGTTAGCAACATCTGTAGAGGAATTGAGGAAGCGGGCACAAGGGGGAAGGTAAACATCCTTCTTGTTCAGTGGCGTATCATTTATCTATAAAAACTGACATTGTCCAAACATTTTAATTGTAAAAAAAACTAAAAAATTTGCTAATTTTACTATTTTTAAAATGAATACCGTCTTATATGTGTCTGATGCAGGAAATGAAACAAAATCACTGTAAAGGTCTAATTTTTTCAATTAAAGAATAAAATCTTAAAATTAATCTTATTATAAATAAATACAGAAGCGACTAGTTTCGGCCTTGCAGGGACATCTTTAGGCCTGTAATACAATAATATTTATTATAATAGGTTGGTCACTTACGAATAAAATTAAATAGTATAAACCACAAAAATGGATCCATATTGTAGCGTTACAGCATTGTAGAATTAAAGCTGTGCAATGCAAACGTAACTAAAAATAAAAATGAGTAAGGAATCTACAAGAGAAGAGGTGAGAATGAGCAATTACAAATGCATTTAAAATGCTCGGGATAACAAATAAAGCTGATAATGTAAAGCAGTGGTATAGTCCCCGTCAAAGAAGGTCCGGATATGTTAAAGAGGACGGCGTTTTCTCTGTAAATCTGGAGAATGTAAGGATGGAGGGAAGACGAATCTTGCTGGCTCAGGTGTAGATGGCTAGAAAAAGGAGCGTGTAGATGAAAGCTCCAGTAAATATCGTCACTTTCGTCTAATTTTTTATTCTCACACCGTTTCGGCTTTATCTTCGAAATTCATTTTCAAAAGGAAATAAAAGTAATCATTCATACAAGCTTATACAGTGTGGAAACCACTTATGGAATAAAATTCTTTGTCATTATTTTAGAAAATTGTAAAAAATGCCGAGACACGTCAACTTTTGAATTGAATTGTGCGTTATGTAAACATAAATTTAAATGTACAGGGTGATTCACGCAAGTATGCCATAGTCGGTATTGTTTTTTTTTTAATGAAACACCCTGTATATTTGCATATTTTTGAAATCCTCTTAATGAACCGATTCCAACAAACTGAATAATGTATGTATGCAAATATACAGGGTGTTTCATTAAAAAAAAAACAACACCGACTATGGCATACTTGCGTGAATCACCCTGTACATTTAAATTTATGTTTACATAACGCACAACTCAATTCAAAAGTTGACATGTCTCGGCATTTTTTATAATTTTCTAAAATAATGACAAAGAATTTTATTCCATAAGTGGTTTCCACACTGTATAATAAAACAACATGAATTCATTATCTTTAATAAGCTAATAAACGTTTGTTTCAATGAAAAAAACATATATGTGAATATAAAAAATATATAAATAGATTCTTAAACAAATTTCTTGTTTTTGTTTTGCAAAAGACTTTTTTGTCTTCTTCGGTTGCCTCTGACACATTTCTTTTAGTAGTTTCGAGGAGAATTTTCTTATGAAAACCAGTAGAACCATCAATTGGTTGGTACCATTTTGATATTTTGGGTCTGGTAAGAGTCTTGTTAAACTTTCTTCTTAGGTAGCTGTAACCTTTTGGAGAATAAAAATTTAATGTTAGATCAGAAGCTCTTAATTGAGAATTATATTTGGAAAGGCCGTTTTAATAATATTTTCAAAAGTTCTTGGAATCGTTGTTAACTGAAACCTACAAAAAATATATCATTTTATTCCTAAAATATAAGATATCACACAATGCACATTCATATAATATCATTGTGCTAGAAAAATACTAGGTGGGTACTGAGACAATTTAAAAAAAGTATTTCGAGAAACTCAACTTTTATGGTAATCATTGTACTTAACTTTTTTATTGCTAAATTATGAATAATATCATTTTGTGTAGTTCGTAGTGATTTGTATAATATATATTATAAAAACCTATCGTCAATGTTAATGTGCCAACTTTTTTTAATAATTATGTCCTTGTTATGGTAAAAACACATTTTTAGAAGTTTTCTGAATTTCTTCTTTAAATTATCATATAGTTGAATTGACTAATTGTGTGTTTAATTAAAGGTATATCTCTTGTTTGTTAAACCAGTCTTTTGTGTTCTAAACTTTTTAGATAATTAGAGAAAACAGTAGGACATCTTAAAATATTCTTTCACCAATAAAAATGTAGAATAATGAATCTTACATCAAACGGAAAGTCATTTACGGATGTCCTACTAGGTATTAACTTAAAAACTAAATAAAATGTATATTGCAACTGTGCTCAAATAAATGAATGTGTTTATACCTGACTATAGTAGTACCAGACATACATTTTTAAGATCATAATTAATGATCTGGATAACTCAAAATAGTCAAAATCCACATTATTTAAGTTGTTCTAGTATTTTTTTAGCATAGCGATATAAACTCATAGAAATAGTATAGAAAGCCGATTCCATATATCAAAAATGAAACCATAAGGAGAAAATAGTATGTCGGAGCTCATGCGTATAACGGTGCTGGCGCGAACAGGACCGGTGCAAGTTTTTTATTGATCAAACAAATAGTTCGCACGATATTTCAATCATACATTTTTAGAGAAGATTATATACAAAAAACGATTAAAAAAATTTCAAGTTAAGGTAAATATGGTTCTGACAGTCCTTATTAAGAAAGATATGGCATAAAATATGAATTAGTTAATTTTCGGCAATCATTAGTACAGTAGTCATGAGATTTTGCTTGTGATTTTAAAAATACTTTCCAGAAAAACCACGTGCTCCGGTTTCGACTACGTTTATTATTAAACAGCGAAATTATATACAAAAACTTTAATCCACAATCTAAATTAGGTACTATCACAAGAAAATCACTGTTACAATAATTAATTACTTAACCAAAAACTAAAATACTTTTTAGGTACCTACGTAACCAGAAAGGAGCTGGACCATTTATCCTAATATTGATTTTCTCTCTCCCTACGGTAAAACTTAAAACAATAACAAATTGCCTATCTACTAGGGTCGGTAACTAAACGTATATACATAATGGGCGGATTTTGTTTATACTTAACATTACACTCGCGCATTTAAATATAACTATGCATATAAATATTTACAAACAAAGATACTTTTCCAAACAGGCAATCATTAGTACTGTAGTCACGAGATTTTGCTTGTGATTTGACATCTTATTTGATAATATCATTTGCTACAACTAAATTTAATCTGGGGAGTGCAAAATAGGGCCCAGGAATATTATGTTCGATATTTTTTTACATTTTGTCAGCCGAGACTATGAGTCGTTAGACAGAAAACCTTTCATGTTACCATTTTCAATATAAATTAAAAATTTAAAAAATACTACTACATTTACTTGGTACATATTTTATTTTAATTTTGAACCTTTTTAAAAGGGTCTTTCGGTTCCATAATAAAAATTAGTTGCTGCTTACTAGAAACATTCTATATAGCCTAAACCAATTTATAGTTTGTTTTCGATCAATTTAATACAAAGATTTAAAATTTTTAGTCGATGATAACATTCCACACCAGCACATTGCAAACCTATTTTATAAATAATAGGAATAAACTTGTAAATCATTAATTTGGTAGTTATCTCACTCATATGATTTTTTTGTTTATATGACTATTTCGATTTCTAAATATATTTTGGCCTTACAATACGAAGCGTTTTGTATCTACCACTTTTTTAATGAACGATGAATGTTGGCAGGCGTGTACCTTTTTCGGAACAAGAGGCGTTTTAACGAAGGAAATGATTTTCGAACTATCTAGTTAGTTTTCGGAAAAATAGAAAACGTTTGAAGAAAGTTGTCAATAACAGTTTGTCGTTCATGTGTTTCATTTTGATCAGCTTTCATACTAAATTGCGTAGAATATTTTTCCGATTCAAAATCGAGATTCTCGATATTTCCACAGTTGAAATATTTTTTTTATGTATGTTGAGCGATAATTCTTTACCACGTTGCCCGATTTCTAGGATTATTTTTGTTAGAAAAGGAAACAGTTTTATATACATTAAGTCAAGATCTGAAGATGGGATCCATAAGAAAATCATTAACATCTTTATTTTTAAAGTAGGTTTTTTTTTAAATTTCTTTAAACCTTACTGGTTCGAACGCGGTAAGGAATGAAGAAATGTAAATAATTGTTGTGCCAGCCAAAAAGCGAAGAGGAAGTACCGATTAAAATATCGAGTGACAGAAGAGTTCCTAAGATTGTTGAGATCGGGTTTATGTTTTAAAATGCCTTAAAACCGATATCGATAATGTCTCCCCGTCGCTGGGCAGCCTGTATATAAATATACAGCTCTCTATTTACATAATTATAATTCTTAGGTAGGTTTAGATTTGCAGACATAAATCTTGTAATAAATATAACAGCTGCCTAATACATTGATTACATTTTCATTAGCCAATGTAAAAATGTCTTTTATTGTACCTAGGATTTGACTAAACACTACACAAAACTAAAAATAAAATGCCACTTTCA